GAGGCATGATCCCTCTATTTCCACTTTGATGATAGCTTTTATTATAAATGGAATCTGGATTGTATCAAATGCTGTCTCTGAATCTACGGATATGATCATGTGATTTTTACCCATCATTTTCGTTATGTGATGTATCTCATTTATTGATTTGGGATATTATACCAACCTTGCATCCCTGGAATAAATTGCATTTGACGATGGTGTATGATCTTTTTAATGTATTGCTGGATCCAGTTTATTAATATTTTGTTGAGGATTTTAGCATCTATGTTCATCATGGATATTGACCAATAATTTTCTTTCCTTGTAGTGCCTTTATCTGGTTTTGGAATTAGAATAATGCTGGCCTCATGAAATGAGATTGGAAGTCTTCCCTCCTCTAGAATTTTTTGGATTAATTTGAGAAAGATAGTTGTTAATTCTTTGAATGTTGGTAAAATTCACCTGTGAAGCCATCTGGGCCACAATTTTTGTTTGCTGGGAGTTTTTTTTTTATTACTGCTTCGATTTCATTAGTTGTAATTGGTCTATTCAGATTTTCTGGTTCTGTCTAGAAATTTATACACTATGCCCAGGTTGTCCATTTTGTTCACATATATTCTGTAAGTTGACAGCCTTACGGAATATTTTCATACTACTTTCTTACAATCCTTTGTATTTTTTCAGTCTCAGTTGTTAATTTCCCTCTTTCATTTCTGATTTTAATTATTTGGGTCCTCTTTCTTTTTTCCTTAATAAGTCTGGTTAAAGGTTCATCAATCCTGTTTATCTTTTCAAAGAGCCAGCTCTTGGTTTCATAGATTTTTTTGTATCTTTTTTTAATCTCTGTCATTTATTTCTGCTCTAATCTTTATTATTTTTTTTCCTTCTACTTACTCTGGGTTTTGTTTGTTGTTCTTTTTCTAGTTCTTTTAGATGTAGGATTAGGTTGTTTATTTGATATTTTTCTTGCTTTTTGAGATAGGCCTGTAATGCTATGAATTTTCTTCTCAGGGCTGCTTTCGCTGTGCACCATAGATTTTGGTTTGTTGTGTGTTCATTTTCATTTGTCTCCAGGTAACTTTTGTTTTCTTCCTTGATCTCATTGTTAACCCATTAATTGTTTAATAACGTATTATTTAACCTCAATGTGTTTGAATGTATTTGAGGTTTTTTGTTATCATTGATTTCTAGCTTCATACCATTGTGGTCAGAGAAGATGCTTGATACACTTTCAGTCTTCTTGAATCTATTAAGGCTTATTTTGTATCCTAGCATGTGGTCTATCTTAGAGAATATTCCATGTGCACTTGAAAAGAATGTATATTCTGTTGCTTTGGGATGAAATGTTCTCTAAATATCAATTAAATTGATTCAATCCAGTGTATTGTTTAAGGTCACTATTGCCTTGCTGATTTTTTGCCTGGAAGATCTATCCGTTGATGTCAATGGGGTGTTCAAATACCCAGTTATGGCTGTTTTGCTGTTGATCTCTCCTTTAATGTCCACCAAGATTTTCCTTATATATTTAAGTGTTCCTTGTTGGATTGATCCATTTAGTTTTATGTAATGTCCTTTTTTGTCTCTTTTATGGCCTCTGTTTTAAAGTTAATTTTGTGTGGCATAAGCATTGCTACCCCAGCTTCTTTTCCTTTTTTGTTTCCCCTTGAGTGAAATATTTTTTCTGTCACTCCACTTTCAGTCTGTGTGAATCTTTTGTTCTGAGGAAGGTCCCTTGTACACAGCATACATATTTGTCATGTCGTTTTGGTTTTTATCCATTCAGCTACCCTATGTCTTTTGATTGAAACATTTAATCCATTCACATTTAAAGTTATTATTGATAGGTACTTATTTATTGCTATTTGATCTTTATACTTATGTTCCTCACTATATATATTTTTTCTTCTTTCTTCTTCTTAAAAAAGGCCTTTTAATAATTTTTTTCAGTACTGGTTTGTTGGCAATGAATTCCTTTTGCTTCATTTTGTGGTCTGGGAAGCTCTTTATATCATCTTCAATTTTAAATGATAGCCTTGCTGGATGGAGTAGTGTTGGCTGTAGGTCCTTGCTTTTCATCACTTTGAATATTTTATGCCAATCCCTTCTGGCCTCAAGTGTTCTGTTAAGAAATCATCTGACAGCCTTACAGAAGTTCCCTTGTATGTAACTAACTGTCTTTCTCTTGCTGCTTTTAAGATTCTCTCTTTGTCTTTAACCTTTGTGATTTTAATTATGATGTGTCTTGGTGTGAGCCTCTTTGGGTTCATCTTGATTGGGACTCTGTGCTTCCTGAAATGGTGTGACTTTTTCCTTCATTAGGTTAGGGAAGTTTTCAGCCATTATTCCTTCAAACAGATTCTTGATCCCTTACTTACTCTCTTCTCCTTCTGGTATCCCTATGATGCAGATGTTGTAACTCTTGATATTGTCCCAGAGGTCCCTTAGACTTTACTCATTGTTTTAAATTCGTTTTTCTTTTTGTTGCTCTGCTTGGGTCTTTACTGTTATCTTGTCCTTTAAATCCCTGGTTTGATCCTCTGCTTCATTTAACCTGCTGTTGATTCCTTCGAATATATTCTTCATTTCCGGTATTGTATTCTTCATTTCTCACTAGTTCTTTTTTATGGCTTTTATGTGCTTTTAAATGCTTACTATCCCTTTGTTTAAGTTCTCACTGAGATATCCATTCTTTCCCTAAGTCCTTGAGCATTCTTACAACCATTCTTTTAGACTTTGCTTCTGGTATCTTGATTGTTTCCATTTTATTTAAATTTTTTCTGAGGATTTCTCTCATTTTTTCATTTAAGGCATATTTCTTTGTCTCCCCATTTTGCCTGCCTTTTTGTGTTTTACTCTGAATATTAAGTAGATCTGCTATGACTTCCAAGCTTGATTTCAGGGCTTTTGGATGCAGATGCCTTATGGGTCTCAGTGGCACAATCTTCTAGATCACTTGATCTAGGTGCCCCAGAAATGTTTCTTGTGTGGGTTTTGTGCCCCATCTTATTGTAGTTGAGTCTTGAATGCTGTTAGCCCATTTATGGGTGGAGTTAACCTCAGGCTGTCTGACTATAAGTATAGATCTCATTCACTGTGTATGAGTCACTGTTCAGGGGCTGCCCCCAAAGGTGAGCTATTCCCAGCATGTTCTGGTGCCTGCCAGAGTTTCCTTTGACTGTGCTATTTGTGTAGCTAATTGGGTCAGGTTCTGGTGAGGTTCCAAGCCCACCACTGGTTGGATTGGTTGTGGGGCACTTGAACAGGGTTCTGGCGCAGTTTTGATGTCAGACATTGTGTGTAACTGGCCTTGGGCTACCTGTCTGGAGCTACCATACTAGTCATTGACTGCTGGGCCTGGGTGTGCATGGGAGGGCTCAAGCTGTGTACAAGGGTCAGCTTCCTGCAGCTCTGAGCTGAGGACAGATCAATAAAAGGTTCAAGGCTCTCTGAGGTGAGTGTCCAACTGTCAGCTACTCCACCACCCCCTGAGGTTGCCTGGACTTCCTCTAGAGGCTTTTGAAAAAAGACTGTAGAGTGGGCCCAAATTGGCTGTACCCCATTGCCCCTTTCACATGGTGCAAACTCAGTAGAGTGGGGCAACTGGGTAGGTAGGACAAGGCTAGTTGGTCCCCTGTTGGGGGCAGTGTGGTCAATGGAGAGAATGTAGTCCTTACTCCAGAGCCATACCACTCAGTCTCTGCTAGAGTTTTCAACTCTAACTCCCCAGGAGGAGTGTACCACCAGTTCAGGTTGGGTGCAGCCAGCTCTTCCAACTGCAGGAGCAAGCTCAGCAGGGCAAAACCATCAGGACTTTGAAAAGCAGATCAAGGCAGTCCTTTGCTGGAGTGGCTCTGGCTGTGCTTGTGGGAAGGGAGCGAGCTTTGTACCTCCCCTTAGCTGTGTAGCTGCACCCACCTGTGCCAGAGCAGACCCTCTGAGGGAGATGTGCTTAAAGGTCCAAGTTCTGAGTGGCATTCTCAACCCCCTACCCCAACCCACCGTGGATCTTAGCTTAGCAGGCCAGGGCCTTGACTTGGGAATATAGAACAGAACAGGTTCCCATTGAAGGTGATGCTGAGCAAACCTACAGGTAAAGGGGAAAACTGACCCCCATTCCAAAATCTCACAGTTCAATGTCTGTCTGAGTGTCTGCCAATAATTTCTCCAAAGAAAGAGATCAGCAAAGGTCCCTGTTTGGTGCAGCCAACATTCCTTTCTGCCAGATTCAAGCTTGGCAAGGTGGTTTCATCAGTATTTGGGGGACTGGGTTAGTGGACTCCCCAGGCTGGTGCTGTAAGAATAGGAGCACCTGACCCTGGGAAGAATGTGCTTTAGGGTGGTGTGGGATGTTGACTCAGAACTGAGACCTCAGTAGCTGACCCTCCAGATTTCTCTTCAGGGCCACACCACAAAGGTCTTCTCTTTATGACTCCCATATGCCCTGAGTTGCCTTCCCTCTACTAGAGCCCCAAGTGACTTCCAGAGAGCAAGCTCCTGTGCAGTGTCTCTTTAGGAAAGCACCTGGGATTCTAGCAGACTCCCTCTTCTTCCCAGAGGATAGAGTCCCTTCTGGTTTTCATAGCCAGATGCTATGCAGGTTCCACTTCCCAGCACTGGTGCTCTGGGTTGTGGGTCCTGGCATGGGATTGAGACACCGTGCTCTTCAGAAGGGACTTTTGCAACTGCAATTTCCCTCTTGTTTCTCATCTGCCACACATGGGTGCAGGGGCCAGCCCTCTCTGTGTCTCCACCCTTCATGCCAGTCTCTATGTACCTTCTATAAATCCTTGGATATAATACTCCTGTTCAGCTGTCCTTCAGTTGGTCATTCAAGTTGACTGCTCTATAATTTAGCTGTAAATCTGATTTGGTGCCCAGAGGAGGTAAGTGTAGCTTCCACTTACTTGGCGGATATCTTGAAACTCCACTATGACATTTTCTATAAGGTGGTGGTGGTGTTGTTGTTGAACACATTATTTCAAATCCTTTTTGAACATAATAAACTATGTCTCCCACAGCAATTAACGGAAGAATGTTTGGAAATAACCAAGGTCTCACATTTCATGTTGGGGAGGAAGTGAATTTTTATCTGATTGGAATAGGGAGTGAATTTGACCTGCACACAGTTCACTTTCATGGCCACAGCTTTGATTTCAAGGTAAGAGCCTGGGAAGTTCCATTTAATTCCATGGCAAGGTAACAGGACTGGAAAGGAAATTACCAAGCCAGAACTGAGGTCCAATGCGTACAATCTATAGTATATTGGATGCAAGTAAATAATACATCTAGCTCTTTATATCTCATGAACATTTGATAAATGCTTGTGAATATGTGAAGTGCATTTCTCACTCGAATCTGATTTCACTCAATACATGAATCAGACGTTGATAATCATCTTTAGTTTTACCCTTTCTATTCCATCTATTTTTTTAAATTTTCAAACTCTCAGACATAAAACATAAAAGAAAAATACCTTGAGCACTCATATACATTTTGCCACATTTACTTTATATATATATTATTTCTGAACCCAACTGAAAGCAAACTACAAACATCATGATTCTTTACCCCTAAATGCTAAAGCATGTGCACCTTCAGAATAAGGACAATCTCTTCCCCAAAAACAATAACATTATCAGGCCCCAAAGTTAACATTAATTTCATAATATAGTCTAACATAGAGTCCTTTAAAATATCCTCAGGTGTCCCCAAAATGCTCTTTATAACTGTTTTCTTTAATCTGAGATCTAATCATTTATGCATAACATTTGGTTGCTGTTGTCATATCTTTTTAAAAAATCAAAAGAGGCCTTCTGCCTTTTTTGTCTTGATTTTTCATCACATTTCATTTTTGAAAGGTCTAGGCCAGTTGTTACATAGAATGTTCCATATTCTTCAATGGTCTGATAGTTTCCTCATGATAGAATCTATGTCCAACATCTTTGGCAAGAACACTCCATAGGTGACACTGTGTACTTATACATCACATCAAAAGGCTCCTGATGTCAACAGGTTCTAATATTGGTGAAGCTAAGTTTGATAACTTGATTAGATAATGTGCACCATTCTCTCCATTTAAAAAGTATCATCTTCCTATTATAATTAATAAGTAATTTGTGAAGTGATTTTTTATTTTTATTTTTTAATTTATCTTTATTGTTCAAGGTATTACAGATGTCCCCTTCCCCCTCCCCCATTACACCCCTCCACCTCACATCCACCCAACTCCCAGGCCTTCCCCACACTATTGTCTGTGTCCATGGGTTATGCACATATGCATATAAGTTCTTTGATTAATCTCTCCCCACCCAACCTCCCACCCTCACCTTCCCACTGAGATCCCTCAGTCTGTTCCATGCTTCTTTGTCTCTGGATCTATTTTGTTCATCAGTTTATTTTGTTCATTATATTCCACATATGAGTGAAATCAAGCAGGAAGTAGTAGAAGTAGGATTTGAACTCCTGACTCTCATGCCAGAACCCCTCACTCTTAACCTCTTCACAAAACTGCCTTCCTTAAGAATGAGCCCATTATACCACAAAGCCTAGTACCGCCTTCTCTCATCTCTAGCCACTCACACTAAACTCCTCACAGATAATCCTAAGTAGTGTTCTCCTTCCCTTGAGGTGGAGTTCAATTAGTCCAGCATTGATGAAGCTGCTGGGCTTTACTCCCTGGAACTCCTGGAGGTAGCAGAGCAGCCCTCTGGGGTTAGTAACCTGGTCTAGGGACAAACCAGCCAGTCACCTCCTGTTTCCTAAGGCTATTAGTCGCCCTCTGTGCCAGGGCTCCAGGTGCCTTGGACAATTGTCAGTTCTTAGTTAAAATTATTTCATATGGTTCTCTATATTTTCTGACATCTTAGAAATGTATCTTGTGACCAATATTACGGTCACCTTAAATGCAAAATTAATCTTCCTCAATAACAATGACTTGAGCTTGCACTTTGCGTTCAACTGGAAATGGCTCTACCTTCCTCCTTTGTACCTTCCAATGTCTCCAGAGTCTTGAGAGCCTAAATTTCTTCTAGTCACCTCCAACTCTCACTCCCTGCTTCTGTTATCTCCCTCGCCTCTCATCTCTTGTGGCTGCTATTTTCCCCTCTCTCTGTGGAGTTAAAAAATGGAACACACTCCCATTTCCTCTGATTCTCCTAAGCAACCACAAAGTCAAGGCCATTATGGATCATAGACTTTTAGTGAAAGTTTGAGGGCAAATGAGGGCTGTTTTTCAATACTACACAGTGCAAGCACTTACCATTTGACATCAGACACCCCTATCTTGAATTATCCCTTCACTATGCATCACTGAGAACCTCTGGCTCTTCTGGCCTTTTACTCTCCTCCTCAGGACTTCTTTCTCTGCACTCTCCCTATCCAGACTCTCCTGACATCTCTTCTCTCTCCAAATTATTCTGGACCTTTTCTTGAGCTACACTCTCCAATACATCCCCCATCATCCAAATACCTGCCATTTTATTGTGCAATTCATCTCCCTCTTTAACTCTCTTTCTAATCTATTTGGGCCATGACCCTAGGCCTCATCTTTCTAAATCAAACTAGCCTACATAGGAGGTGGTCTCCTAAATATCAAGTTCTCTTTTGGGAAGAGAAATTAGCCATTAAAGCCATCAGCCCTCGGGCCCAATACCCGGAAGGCAGATGATACTTCAGGAGCCAGGTGAGCTTCTTTTCTTCCCCTAACTGTGAATTTTCCTGATTACCTCCATCCCAGGGAATGACACTAGCATCCTTACTTAGAAACATTTCAGTTAAAGCCTTTGGGATTTGTGAAACCAGATGTTCTCTGAGATCTAGAGCATTGTTCTGTAGGAGATGCTGACAAGGTATCCAACACCAACACTCATGCAGAAACCATTTTAGAGGGAGGTGTTTTCCCTGTGGCTTGTCTAGCACCGAAATGTTCTGGGACTTGTACTCATAGGACAGGTGCAACACCACCTAATGCTTTCTAATTGTCATCTAACGAAGTTTATCAGAATTGGGGAGTCACAGCAAACAGTAAGATGTTTAAATGGCTGACTGACACCTTTTATAAGCTATAATGATGTTTTGTCTCCTTGTTCAGGATTCTGGACTGTATCGCTCTGATGTTTATGACCTTCCTCCTGGGGTCTATAAAACTGTAAAAATGTTTACAAGAGATGTTGGAATATGGTTATTCCATTGCCATGTTAGCAGTCACATTAATGCTGGAATGGAAACCACTTACACTGTAATTGAATAAATAGGTAAGCTAAATTAATTAGAAGTGATCATATTTAAATAAACTTAATGCTTACATAAGGATATCTGATCCACTGACCATTTGTGTGATGTGATACACCACTCTTGCATTCAGAGATTATTCTTTTGAGGTGGCCAAGAAACTCTGGTTTTATTTTACTTACGTAACTATTCCTGATCTAATGAAAAATACTCTGAAGTTAAATATAATTTCCAGATTCATATAATAAATGCATGAGGACTTGAACAGACAATTCATAGAACATGAAATATAAATGACAATTGAACCCATACAGATATTTAACCTTGCTAATAATTAAATCACTTAAAAATCACAGTTAAGCAACAGCAAGATACCTTTTTGAGTGAGGAAGCTATCAATTCGGCGAAGATCTCCTTTTTCAATTTTCCAGTCAATAACTGTATATATTACATATACTTTGGGGGAAGTATAAAATGTTCCCACAGCTCTTGAGAGATATAAAATAATGATTCTCATTTTTTCCCATTCAAATGACATTTTCTTTTCTCTCCTTCCCACCTTCCTTTTCTCCAATACATTTACTAGCAACTTCAGTATGAAAACAGTATCTTTGTTACTGAGATTTTCATCAGTTTCTTCGTTACTTAGGCTCTCCATGGAGTCATGATCCTTTGGTCTTTGGACACAATAATTCTAATATTTTGACCCACTAATTTGACCAGGCAGTTGATCTCAGGAAATTATCAGCAATGCCAAAACATACTTATCACCATGTTATTTCATGCTGATGGAAAACTGAAAACATGCAAAACATCTACTGAAGTTTTGCTACACTTATTATGTAAAGTGCTACCTAACTGAAAAAATCATGCCTTAAAATTGTAATAGAAAAATGCTTATAATACAATATTGAGTGATATAAAGTCTACAAAATAGTATTTGAAATATTATCCAAATTCTCTCTACATATTATATATATTACATATCATATATATAAGACTGAACAGAAATTTACTGAACTATTCATGGTGACTCTCTCCAGGTGGTAAAATTATGAGTGAGGTTTATTTTCTTCTTGTACTTTCCCGTTTCTTTCGAGGCTACCACAAAGTTTGAATTACTTTTAAAACCAGGAAAACTATTAAGCACATATAGCATATGCTATTTTAAGTATTCTGTGCAGCTCTCGAGTTCTGTGGGCGTTTCCCCTGCGGGCGCCCTGCGGGATGAAGGAGCCCAGCAGCTGAAGGGACCGAGGTGCAGGTGGGCGGTTCCTCAGAATCTTCTCTGAGTTGTAAGGACCACATTTCTCACGAAAACACAAACCTGTTAGCCTAAAATATAATTTTACCTGCAGCGATGTATTAATACCAATACTGTTATTATTACTAATACAAGTATGATGATCATTACTTATGAAAAGAGACTTGGGTATGGTGCCCAAGAACTAAATCCCCATTTATAACACTGTTTCTTGGGGAAACTAGATTTTGCATTTGAAATAATATAAAGCCATGTCTGGTTCATTCTGCAGGACTTCTGTCCTCATGAGCGAGTGACAGAACATTGCTAGCAATCTAATGGGTAAGCTTTTTGTTGCACAAACAATGGTAATTCTTTTAAGGATTTTCTTAAGACTTATATAAACTTTCTATTTTTTTCCTTAAAGGTATGTAATTATTTTACTTTAATATTCCAACTTAGATCTTCTTGAAACTTTCTTTTCTGCAGCGCAAATATCTCCTTGAAGTCAGAAGTCCAGCTGCTGAAGAAAAAACTCTCCAGGGATGAAGGAGCCTAGGAGGGGCTGTCATCAGTTTGACTCAAATAAACTCATGAAAAATTTTAAAATAATATTAATATTTATATTTAATATTTAATTGAATTTTTGGGGGTGACGTGGGTTAATAAAATTGTACAGGTTTCAGGGGGACAGTTCTGTAGCACATCATCTGTGTATTGTACTGTGTGTCCACCACCCGCGCCCAAGCCCCCTCCAGCCCCCTTCGCCCCTTTGCGCGCATTCTTAACGGGGAAGACTCAGGACCAAAGCGTGTCGGGGAGAGGTCTCTGCGCAGCTATTGGAAGGTGCTCTCTGTCTGGCGATTAGTACCCATTATTTAGACAGAAATATTGTTAGTGCAAAAGAATCAAAGAAATAAAAGAATATGCTTTAAGAATATGCATACTTTTGTTCAAATTCTATTCTTGGCAAGAAACTTTGTTCCATAATATGATTTTTCTGAGTAAATCTATAAACAAAATTTTTAGAAGACCAATAGTATATGCCCATTTTTCTTTACTTTTAAATAAATAAATTACCACATCGATTTTTTTCTCCAAGTTTGTTTGCAATCAGTCAGCCCTGTGAACCTAGCCATCTTTATGTGAACTGACAAAGCAAAGGCTCTGAATCTGCCAGCTGACATCCAAAATCTGGACAGAATCCTTCCAAAGTGCAGAGCCTGGGAGGCCCGCCTAACACGGCCTGGAGCCACGCTCTAATGCCTTCAGGACCACGGCGCATCTGAGTCAGACAGGCCTTTACTTTCATTCTAGCTGTGGAGTTTTGGACAAGGTATAAAATCTCTCTTATCCATTATTTCCTCATCTGTAAAATGAAGACAATAATAATAATACCTTTTGTGGTATTCTGTAGGCAAATTAATGGCCCCCCAAAGATATTTATGTCCTAATTATGTTGCAGATGCAATTAAGGTTTCTAATCAACTAACCATAAAATAGATTATCCAGGATTACCAAGGCAGCCGGTCCTTAATAATAGAAAAGGGAGGCAGAAGAGAAAGTCAGAGTGATACAAAGTATGAAGGAATCAACCTGCCATGTTGGCTTTGAAGATGAGAGGGGGCCATGAGCCAAGGAATGTGGGCAGCCCGTAGGAACTGGAAGGGACCAGGAAATGAGGTCTCCCCTAGAGCCTTCAAAAAGGAACACAGCCCCACTGACACCTTGATTTTTAGCCCAGTGACACACAGTCAGATTTATGACATACAGAACTGTAAGATAATAAATTTATGTTGTTTTAAGCCACTAAGTGGCAATTTGTTACAGCTACAAAAAAACACANACATACAGAACTGTAAGATAATAAATTTATGTTGTTTTAAGCCACTAAGTTTATGGCAATTTGTTACAGCTGCAAAAAAAACCCACACAACTAATTGTTGTTGTGAGGATTAAATGAAATAAAATATTTAAAGACCTAAGCACTGTGCTGGCACATAGTAATCATTTATAAACATTAGTGACTGTGATTATAGTTAACATTTATCACTCTTTCAATATTTATTCAACTATGTGGCAAACACTATGCTAAGTGCCTGGGATTCAATACAAAATAAGGCCTAAACATTGGCCCCAAGGAGGCCCAGTCTAACTGGGGAGACAGTCACATAAACAGATAGTTCTAATATAAAATATGTATCAATCGTGTTTTTAATTTTTAATATTTTATGATGCTTTGACATCCTGGGGAGCCTTGCTATCTGGGAAAGACTGCCCCTCCCAGAGCTAGTTAATTCTTAAAGATAGTTAATAACCTGTCCCTAAGCCAGGCTTTCATATGCAAATCAACCAATCAAAAGTCCAGACCCCCTGCCCTGGCCTGGTGGCTAGTTGGTTTGATTCCTGGTCAGGGCAAGTATCTAGGTTGCAGGTTCCATTTCCAGCTGGGACACATATAAGAGGCAGCTGATGAGTGTTTCTTTTTCTCTCTCCCTTCCTCTCTCTCTCAAATCAATGAAAATATATCCTTGGGTGAGGACTGAGAAAAAAAATCCATGCCCCAACCACCTCTTTTATCTAACTCTCACACACCAAGCCGCTGTCTCCCTTGTCCTAAATCAACCAAAGCCAAGTACCAGACACCTAGATACAGTCCCTATGCCCAAAGCCTGCTGGAATTTATTATTATTATTATTATTATTATTATTATTATTATTATTTTGTTGTTAATCTTCACCTGAGGATATTTTTTCCATTGATTTTTAGAGAGAGTGGAAAGGAGGGAGGGAGAGAGAGAGAGAAACATCGATGTGAGACACAGCAACTGGTTGCCTCCCATACGTGTCCCAATCAATAAATCATATGATTTGATTTCCACTGGGGTGGGAATCGAACCTGCAACCCAGGTAAGTGCCTTTGACCAGGAATTGAACCCATGATCCTTTGGAGTGTGGGCCAAAGCTTCAACTACTGAGCTACACCTGCCAGGGCTGCAATTATTAAAACTACCCTATCTTAATCTGTTTATAATTCCCTGCCTTGCGTTTCCTGAAGAAAGCCCAATAAAAGCTGTGACCTATGCATCCCCCTGGCTTCTACTTGTGCCTCCTTAAAAAATCTGGTGCCTCCTCATGTGTCCCTGTGTGACATGTGTGCCTCTCCTTTCTAAAAATCTGTGTGACAGCAACGGCATTGGCCTCTTCATGTCATCACTCAGTCACCTTTTATAAAGTAAGACCTGGGCACAAATCAAAGTGCTAAGCGCAATGCAGAGTGTGCTACCCCAGAATGGTGGCAAGAGGTAACGAGGTTAGCGATGACAAGGGAGGAAAGTGCTTCAGGAAAGCCACACGGGGAAGCTCTATGCAATCAAGCCTCATGAATAAGTTATTCTTTAACCTTTTGTAAGAATAATTCTAGTATTGGGATTCTCTTTGATTGTTAATAAGTCATATGATTTGATTTCCGCTTCATTCAATGTGGTGAGAGAACAAGATTAAAGGAGTAACTGGAATTCATATGTTATTGAAAAAAAGAAATCCCCTTTCCCATAATACTGTAGGTGTCAACACCATCACGGCTGGCTTCGTCCGACTGGAGTCTGGACTTTCTCCCTTCCCCTGCCTGTGACCCCTCCGCAGGTCAGGAAATGCCGAGTAGGGCCTTGACCCACTCATGGGCAACCGAAGACCTGTCTATGTCATCATTCCCTAAATAATCACAAACTGCCCAGTTCCATGGTGCTAGGTCAAGCCGGTGGACTCATTATCAAAGTTCCGTACGTGACCACACTCACCTGTAAAATTCCAGAGTTGCACAACTTTCTGTGGAGAAGGCAGCGCTGCGGTGGTCTGGCTGGTCCTGGACAGAGTGACCTGCTCTTTTATACTTGGTGTCCCCTCTGTCACAAAGTGAAAGACTGTCCTCAGTGGTTTGTCTCTTAATAATCCTGATGTCACGGAGGAGAGGCTGAAAGTCAGTTCTCACGCGTCCACGAGAAACGGACAGGCACGAGCGGGAACAGTGGAGGTAGTTTGCACCTGGCCGGAGAGAAATAAAGCTGAAGGGATATTCTGTACGGACGACTGCTGACTGCTTCTTCGATTTTAACTATTATCAGCCCCAGAATCTAGGTTACTAAACAGGCACGTAGTAATTATTTATAACAAACTACGAAGCATACCCGGGGCTCTGAGGTCAAGGCCTGACACTCTGATAAGAGGACAGCTGTCGGGTCCAATCTGGATTCCTCTCCTCTATTTCTTGCAGTGCTCTGAGTCTGCTGAGCCTCTCCTGGTGGCCCCTGACTTCTGTGCCAGTCGTGATGCATCGTTTTGAACGCAGAAATTCTCAACAGCAACATTATTCAAAGTTCTCTTTTAAGTACCAACCCTGGACTCCCCATAAAGAGGTCTGTAGTGTTAAAGGGGGCCTTTCCTCTTATCCAGACAGGCCTGAGGCTCAAACATTCTCCCTACTGCCTGCCACACAGCAGCAGCGTGCTTTTTAATAGGGAAGGTGACTGTCATGAGACGGGACAGAAGCATGGGCACCATGCCCCCTCCTGCACTACAGCATAAGACGGTGACGCTGCTGAACCTCCCCGTCTCACCACGAGTGTGAGGGGAGCTGCAAGTGTCTTTCTGGAGCCCTCCGTCACGATCTGAGCAGTTTTTCAGGCAGAATTTCACGGAAGGAGGGACTTCAGGGATTGTTGCTGTGCTCTGATCACCATCCTTTCAACCCGCAGGCTGAGTTTGAGCCTGGAGAAGAGTGTGAGAGGAGGTGCCCAGAAAGCTGCCGGCTCCTACCAGTGACGACCTGCCTGTGCGGACCAATTTCTTTTTAAACTTTATTTTATTTTTAAATTTTTATTGAATTTGTTGGGGTGACATTGGTTAATAAAATTATATAAGTGTACAATTCTATATTTTTAAAAAGAACAACATCTTGCAAGGCACAGAGTTTGACCAGTGAAGTCTGGGCAAGATTTTGGCCTCACTCAAGCCCTTTAGGTGGGCAGGAGGGCACACACATTTAAGGTGGCTCTAGAATGGGGTCTTAGGACATCCCGGGCGGTGCTGTGACTCAGTTCTTTTCTGTATCAGGACAATTAATTAAGACTATGACTTGCTGGTGAACGGGAATCTCCACTATGTGCCTTAACGTGGATCATTTCAATGAATGCACAACGGTCTCCGGGGCTATTTTACACGTGAGGAAGCTGAGGCCCGGCTGAGCGCCCCGCCCGAGGCCACATGGTGCCATCGGGTTGCGATCTTCATGCTGCTGTTCTCGCTGTTCTTCCTGACTGAGTTTTCTCCGTACCCCTGCTGCTAGTCCCAGGCCTTTTGCTCTTTATTTGTATATTCCCATCTCTGTTCGGTGCAGGGTAAGTTGTCCCCAGTGCTTAGCAACTGGCCGCCCAGTGGGATCCCTCAGAAATGCGAATTAACTGAATGAACTGTTTGAACATGAGGGTAATTTCCCTATTCCAATCTGTTTCTTTACACAATTTTGGTAAATATTCCCACTGTGATATTCTAGAGGCAAAGGT